TTTTTCTATATAGGCCTAAGTGTCATTTTCGGTCATCTAGAGGTGGTACAATTTACCCACATGGGGCTGAGCTGGGTATGACCATTACTATTTTTTGACTGTTTTAAAGTTTTATTTTCTATGGTATGGCATCACACATATTATTTAGATCTCTATGACTGTCGAAAAGTCTTGATAAAGGATCATGAAAAAATTTGTTGGCGCTTCATTTTGTCTATAATGGTGATATGATGATGAATTTTACTATGTAAGAGTGTTCTTACGGTATGAGCACCCCCCTCCCCCACCCCACCTTTCAAAACAAATCTGCGCCATTCCTTGACGGTAGGTCTCCTACATGCATCATTATTATTAGTTATCATCTTAGCAGTTATCAGTATCACAATCATTATCAGTATCACCACTATCGCCACCACCACCATGCACCGTCACCATCATTATCATCATCACTATTACCACTATCATCACCACCACCATTATCATCATCACCATTATCATCACCACAACCATCGTAGTTGTTGTTGTATCTTATTGTCCGCGGTGCGCAGTATTATCACATGAATTGATCTTTTGCACATGAACTTAAAAAAAGATCAACACAAGCGTGCAATATATGTAAAAAGTGCATTGGCAAATAACAATAGTTGGTGCCCGGCCTACCATAAGTGGATTCAAGGCCCATTAACTTTAAGTCATTAGTGCCACATAGACATAAACTTTCGTACCTTATCACTAGCCATGATGGTGCTGAGGTACGGGACACTCCATCTGTAAAATTGCCATTCTGTGCCCCTCTATTTCGAAATCTTGGGTACTACAGTTCTTCGGCAAATATAAGACTCGTAAGTGTAATACGTACATGCAAATCCAGCGAACAAAGAAACATTAAAATTCTTTTTGTTTATATTTCTACATTATCTATATTTATCATAATTATACTGCATAAATATCCTACCGTCTTTTCTACAGTATAATATACTTCGGACCCATTGGAAATAAACTAACGTTCGTTAATTATATGGGTTGCCCATGCATTCATTCTCCGTTTAAACAGGCAATTTTCTCTATATTTTTGTATGCCATTGTTATTTTTGTTGTATTGTATTTAAATGGATGCTAAATAAATAAAGTCATACAAATTCAGAAAGAGAAGCCTTTGGCAACTAACATTGAATTGACCGACCCGAACGGCCGGGGAACACGGGAAGTATGCATCTTCATCAAAAGGACATTAATTTTTCTGAATGTAACTCAGCCATATTTAGAAAATTTGCCGTACGTTTGTGCAAACTCAGTACTTTGACCTGATTGTGATGCAAATTTTTCTATGTACAATCAAAGAAGAATGAGCTGTTCCGCGTATTTGCATAAAAATTGATGGAA